AAACATAGACATCTAAATGCATGGAGCACCGTATTGAAATAAATGTATTTATTGAAACATTGACATATCCGTGCATTGACAATGATGTCTAGATGTATTGTCAGAGTCACTGAGCCAGCCAGATGCACGGATCACTTCATTGACGCTAAATGCATTGTTCACAGCATTGCTCATGTAGGTGCATGGGCAATGTTATGGGGTTATATCGATAAAAACATTTATCTGTATTTAGATGCATCTGGATATCTGCATATTTGCCTAGATACAACGTGCGATGTCTCGATGGCCTTCTTTTTGCGTATTTAGATGCATCGGCAAGTGAATTGACGAATCTAGATACATTGGGCGATACTCGATGCTTTTTGTGTGCTTGGGTGTATTGATAGCTAAAAAAGGAACGAAAACAGTCAGCAAGGAGTAATCAGCACACATAAGTGCCATGTCTATGTTTTTATTTGTTTCCTCTTCTTCGTTCTTTTTTGTTTTTATTGTTTGTTTTTTTATTTATTCATTTATATCGATTGGTTACCGACTAATTCGTAACCAATGTAAATCGGTGACTATCAATTACCATTATAAAAAGCAATAATTTCACTAGAATGAAATAAGACTAGAAGCAGCGATTACTTCTCTTAATGTATGGCAAATGAAATCTAGGAAACGTTTTTGCTTTTAAAAACAATTATGATAGTAAACACGAAGACCGAAACATAAGATAGCATACAACCATTTTATGTAAAAATTTAGAAAACATTTTGATAGATAACTTTTTAAAATAATTCCAACTTAAAGCTTTTATTCACGAATTTTTCTTTTTTTTTAGACACTACAAAACTTTGACATAATGTCAATATGGGACTACAGCGAATTCGACGAAATATTGCCCGGAGGTGTGGTTAGACGTACATGCAGATATGACAAGACTACTAGTGCAAGAGTTATTAGCGGTATTCTCACAGCGGGCCTTTCGGAAATAAACGCATTAAATAAGAATCGCATAGATACATTTGCATATTATTATGCGAACGAACATCTTGGCACGACAACAGATGAAGCCGCCGCAACTGCAAATAGAAAAGCCGCAGAATCTTGTAATCAAGGGAACTTCCAAGAAGCACAAAACCTGTTCAATGCCGCTTATTACACATGTCCTAGTGGCCATTCTGATGAACAGATATTTTTAAACAGTAAGACTGCGACAGCATTTGCTGTTGAGGGACAAAATCTTCTTTGCGTTGGCAAGTTTTCAGAAGCACAAGCCAAACTCCGGGCAGCTTATGATCACTCGACGGTCAGTACCATTAAAAACATATTTGGAAACTGTCACAATGCAACCATTCCTGCCATTGAGGGACAAAACCTTCTAAACGCCGGTAAATTTCCAGAAGCACAGGTCAAATTTCGGGCCGCTTACGATCAATCGATGGACACTGTCGCTAAAAGCGTATTCGGAAACTGTAACAATGCAATGGTTCCTGCCATTGAGGGACAAAATCTTATAAACGCCGGGAAGTTTTCAGAAGCGCAGGTCAAATTTCGGGCCGCTTACGATCAATCGACGGACACTGTCGCTAAAAACGTATTCGGAAACTGTAACAATGCAATGATTCCTGTCATTGATGGACAAAACCTTCTAACCGCCGGTAGGTTCTCAGAAGCACAAGTGAAATTTCGAGCAGCTTATGATCTATCGACGGTCAGTGCTGTTAAAGACATATTCAGTAATTGTAACAATGCAACGATTCTGGCTATTGAGGGTCAAAGTCTTTTGAACGCTGGCAAGTTCTCGCAAGCCGCTATCAAGTTTCAAGAAGCCGTTGATAAGTCGATTGTCAGCACCATTAGTGCTAAATTGTCAACGTGTAGAGATGGCGTACGGATTGCAGCTGATAGAGAAGCTCTAAAAATTGTCGAGGAGAAAAGGGCAGCTGACAAACTGGCGGCCATGAGACTTGCAGCCGAGAAACTTGCCGCTGAGAAAAAGGCAGCTGAGAAACAGGCAGCCAAGAAACTTGCGGCCGAAGAACGAAAAGCCCAGGAGATTGCAGCAATGAAAGAAGAAGCTGGGCAGCGCGTTAGAAATTCTGCAGTACGGGCAGCCGAACAGTCGACTGAAAAACTTGCAGCCCGCTGGAAGGAATTGGCTGAAGCATTAAAACTAAATGAAGAAGGACTGAAGTTATACCGGAAAGGGAAATTAAACGCAGCGGCATCTCAAATAGAATCGGCACTTGATAAGTATGAAGAAGCAGTCGTAAAATTTAATGCAGCTGCGAAGACGAAGGCATTAGATATTATTTTTAATTCTTTTATAATGGTAATAGCTGCATTTATCGAACAAGAAGCTTTTGACGAAGCTCAGAAAGCTATTGACTATGCTAAAGGGCATTTTCCTAATAAAACTGATGCTTTTACCGAAGCAAAACGAATGATAGTCGACAATGATTACTCTACTAATTACGAAGATCGATATCTGGTTCAATTAAATCAGGATTTAATTGAGAATAATATCATGGAACATTCAGAAGGATATTAATTTCATTACCTTGAGAAAATAGTTTTTCTTTTTTCCTGTTTTTGGCCTGTTAAGTTATTAATCATTTTCGTTATTATTTTTGTAAAGAAAACACAAAATCGATTTCCTTTTCTTTGGGCTATTTGGTTTTGGGTTTTTTGTTGTTCTTCGAATTCTTCGTTTTTTTTGAATTTCGTAAAAGTTGCATGAAAACTGCAATCTTTCCTTTCTTCGTTGTATATACGAAAAAAAAGCTTGAATCATGTAATATAAATCAACATAGAATAAAAATATTTTTCTCAGTTCTTTATCCATTTTCGTTTATTTCATTCTCTGATGTTTGATATCAGTCTAAACTTTTTTAGAACAAGGTGTTTTATGACATATTCTTCTATTTTTCTTTTCTTATTGTGGCAAAAGACCCATAAATGATGATGAAATCAATGTATAGAAAAAAAGATTCTTATCCGTTCTTCGACACGTTGATTATTCATCATATGAAATTTATTATCTAAGAAAAACAAAAACAAGTAAATGACTGTATTTCTAATCATTTTGTTTTTTCTTGTGCAATTTTAGATAAAAGATTAACATTCGTTTTATTTTCTATTCATAAATTCAAAGTACTAAACAAGAAATTTTTTAAATATTATCAAAATCATTACAAAAACAGCAAAATTGTATTTTGCATATGAAAAATCGATAATCAACGTTTTTGTTTCTATCGATTGATCACATATTATTATTATTATTAACTATTATTCCGAAACACAAATAAAAAATTTATTTTTACACAATATAATAAAAGTAGTAATCAAAGAAAGAAACCAAATGACGACAGAGGGTGAGTTATATTTGCTTTTAACTATTTTTTGTATTTCTTTAAAATTTTTTATTGATTTTAAAAACTTGAATAATTTATTTTACTCTAAGATCGACGATAATCTTGTTGCATTCAACAACATTTTATTACCATGAATTGTAATTCATACGTTTGATTATGTAAAACAAGAATATCAACATCAAGAAAATAAATATCTGAAACCATGAATACTTCACGAAAACGAATATTGCCATCATCGATTCCATCGATTGTTCCACAAAATTTACATGAACCAATTAAATCAGAAATACAATTGTCAAACAAGAATCCATTAAAGGTATTGTACATTATTGCAAACAAATCCGAGTATAGTGATGATAATTTCTTAGAGAAAGAATATAAAAACATTATTCTGAAATACATTCGAAATGAGAGTACAAAATTGGAAGATATAATTGTCGACAAAGATCGACCTATTATTTTTGCTATTTGTAATATTGACAGTGAAAAGAAAGAAGAAAATGAACATTGGATAACATTTTGTATTGTAAAATCTAGTGAAAAGTATTATGTGTTTATTATACATTCATTAAAATCTGAAATGTATAAAAGTAGAAAAAATGAATTAAAAGAAGGTATCAAAACAAAATTGAACAGTAAACAGATTGAATTTATTGAGTATGATGATAATAATAATAATAATAATAATAGTAGAGAAGAATCTAGTGTTATTTGTATGAATAATGATATTCATATAGCTTTTAATAATATGAAAATTTTTATTCAATTTTTAAAAAATGAAAAAGAAAAAGAAAAAATTAAACAAAAATTTAAAGAAATAAAATTTTTTTTTAGTAATAATGAAATTATTAATTTTAATAAATTAGTAATAAAAATAGGATTAAGTACAAATTTTCGAACAAAATTTGTGTTAGAAAAAATTTTGTCTGCTTTAAAAAATGTTGTTGAGAAAGATGATGAATATCAATTAGTTGATGATGATCAATTTAATAGATTAACGAGTACATTAACAAGTCTAAATTTTGTGCCAAGAAATGATGAAAAAATTGATCTTAGAGAAGATGTCATCAAATTTATTACAATATTTAAAGACAGAGGAAAAATGTTTAGTGAAATTACTGAAACAAATTTAAAAACATATTTTCAAACAAATAAAAATAAATATTCAAATGATATTGATAGATTTGATGAAAAACTTCGTCAAGATAGTAGAGATAGTCGAATAAAAGGTTGTTTAAGTCTTGCTCTAAAAGATCGAACACAATTTTTAAGTAG